TAATGCTTTCGGCCGGCACACAGATTTACGCTTTCGTCGCGCAGCGATGCAACAAATGTTGCGTTTTGTTGCGCGTCTGGCAATTGCGTACCCAATTATTTGCGATTAGCGCGCCTCCCGCACACTTGCGGTGAAGTCGGTGTTGCGGAATGTCTGCAGCGCCGCGCGTGTGTCGCCCAAGGTCGGGGCTGACGGTGAAGGCACGTCTCACGCTAGGTTCAAAAGGGTTCGCGCTGCAAGGTTGGCATGACTGACATTACCGGTCGTCCAAACGCAAGACTCGTCTTCTTTCAGGGCGCAGTTCCACGCATTCATAGAAAAGCGCCACGACGAGCCCCACACAGACTCACATACTTATTTTTGCGAAGAGGCAGACCCTTTCAGAACGCAGCGCGCATGCAACACTAACCAGCACATCGAGCCCGCAAGCGAAGTGTGCCGCAAAAACCTTCGGTGCACCCCGCTTGGAAGCCACGAGCGAACCGTGTGAAGACTGCACTGGCATGGTCAGGGCGGCGGCGCGCGGCTTGTGCTACAATGGCCGGCGGTGGAGCTCCCCATGATGCCACGAACCGAATGAAGAAAGGACTGAAATGGTCTCGGCGGCGGCAAGCGGCCTGTGCTGCAAAACCTTTGGTGGCGTTCCCTATGGGGCCACAAACCGTGTCAGGGCGTGCTGACATGGCCAAGGCAACGAACAATTGCCTGCGCTACAAAGGCCTTCGGCGGGGTTCCGTATGGGACCACGATTGCAAGCGCTAAAACATGAAATGCACTGGGCAGCGGCGTGCGGCCTGTGCTGGAATGACAAATTTCGGTCGAGCTCCCTGTGTGGCAACGAACAGTGTGAGGGGGTGCTGGAGTGGATTGGGCGGTGGCAAGCGGCCTGTGCGACAGAAGCCATCTGCGTTGCACCCTGTGGAGCCACGAACCGCGTGAGAACGCGCTGCTATGCTCTCGGCGACGGCGCGCGGCGCGTGCAACAGCAACCTTCCGCGTTTACCTCAATGAAGCCGCGATGCGCGGGATACTTCATTTGACCATGTACGGTCGGAAGCACGCAGCCTGCGCACTAACAAAAATGTTCGGCCGAACTTTCCATGGCGCCACGAATCGTGCGAATGCAGAACTGAAGCGGTCTGGGCGGCGGCATGCGGCCTATGCCCAAAAAACCTTCGGCGGGGTTCCCTTCGGGGCCACGAGCGGTGCGAAGCAAGACCTTCAGTGGACTAGGCGGCGGCAGGCGGCCTGTGTTATAAGGGCCCTCGGTGGGACTTCTCATGGGGCCACGAACTGTTTGAGGGGGGTGCTTAAGTTGTCTGGGCGGCGACAAGCGGCCCGAGCTGCAAAAGACTTCGGCGTAGCATCCTATGGGGCCACGAGCCGAACGAAGGGTGTGCTGACATGGTTTGGGCGGCGGCGCGCATCCTTTGCTGCGAGAATCTTCGGTGTCACCGTCTTATGGGGCCGCGAACCGCGCGGGGTGCGTGCTGAATTGGCATCGGGCAGCGGAAAGAGGCCTGTGCTACGGAGGCCTTCGGCGGGGCCCTATGGGGCCACGAATCGTTCAGACGGCGCGCCGAAACTGCATTGGCAGAGCCAAAGCAAAGATCCACCATGCAAGAAAGGATACATGAAGAGCAAATGTAGCGACTTGGAGTAGGAGGCGGCGGTAGAGGGGGGGAAGACAGAAGAGGCGCTCAGCGCTGCGGGCTCACAACGAGGACCCAACAGACACGAGAATTAGAACAAAACGACGGCATCCAAGAGCTCCATCACACTACTCTTCCGATGGCTCACATGCCTCCACGTCGCCTCCAAGGCAGGCGAAGGACGGCTCGAAGACAAACCGAGTCCGCGGCAACGCAATCCCAAGCCTTCCATTGCTCCCCCATGGGGCACCAGGGAGTCGCCAAGATGCCCCCGAGAAAAAAAAAACAAAACACACACATAACATCCTGATACGGCACTGATACAAGACATGAAGACAGCTCCAGGACGGCCCACTGCAGGTCCCGCTCAGGCTCCATCAGCTCATTTTCGCACACCCAGTGTCATAATCTGGAGGCAGCATCGGTTGACTCCCCCGCCCATGCCCCCAACGACACGACAACTCTGGGACCCAGACAGCGCTTTGGATCCCCAGTCGCAACGGACTCGAGGGCCCCGGGGGGCCATGCCGAGCCCGCGCCATGCCCCTCCGGACATGTCAAAAAAACACTGCCGAGGGGAGTCCGAACCCACCGCTGCGGGAGCGCCCATGGGGGCCGCGGTGGGTTCGGACTCCCCTCGGCAGTCCTCCCAGACGTGTAAAAAAACGATGCCGAGGGGAGTCCGGACCCACCGCGGGGGGGGGAGTCCGGACCCACCGCGGGCCCATGGGAGCCCTCGCGGAGCCTTCCATGGGCTTCCCCGCAAAGCCCTCTGCCCCCCCCTGCCCTGCCCGCCGCCCCCGTTTCTGCCCCTCGTCCCCCCTCGATTCTGCTCCCACGCCCCCCTCGTCGATCCTGCCTCCAATGCCGTCCGCCCACGCACTGTGACAGCTCCGAGTCGCACCAAAATATATTGTAACTGTGAAACACTGCTCGCCCACATGCCAAACAAATGCTCTGAATGCCCCTCATCGGAGGCGCCCCTCGCCTGCGTCATCCTTCAAATAGTGACCCCGCCATCGATCGTCCTCATCATGCTGGTCCGTTTTTCCGATGTTTCCTTTCTGCCCCTCCAATACGGAGTGAGCCTGGCGAAAGAGCCAACGCTTTCTGAACGCAGCGCGAAAATAAACAAGACCGCCCGACACGCGCGAACACAATTAGTCCGCATGCGAATTTTACCACAAGGGCATCCTGTGGAGCTCCCCATGAAGCCACCAAGGGTGTGACGACTGCGCTTAAATGGTCTGGGCGGCGGCAAACAACCTGCGCCACAAAACCTTTCGCTAGAACTCCCAGTGGGCCCACGAATCGCGCGAGACAGCACTGAACTGGCTTGGGGCGGCGGCTTGCGGCCTGTGCTCCACATTTGGCAACAAAACACGTTGGCCGCGTGCTGAAATGGTCTGGACGGCGCAATGCGGCATGTGCCACAAGCGCTTTCGGCAGAGCTCCCTACGGGGCCACGAACCGTGAGGAGTGTGTGCTAAATGGTCTGCGTGGCGGCGTGCGGTTCGTGCCTGACGACCCTTCAGTGGAGTTTCCTCAGGCGGCCGCGGATCGTGCGAAGACTGTTGAAATGGCCCGGGCGGCGACGCGCGGCCTGTGTCACCAGCGTTTCCAGCGGAACCCCTCATATTGCCACGGAACGTATGGCTGGCGTTTTAAAAGAGTCTGAGCGGCAGCATGCGCCCTGCGCTACAAACGCCTTCGATGGGGTTTCGTATGATTGGGCGCCGAACCGTTCGATGGGCGTGCTGCAACGGTCTGCGCGGTGGCATGCGTCCTGCGCAACCTCAATGCATTTGGTACAGCTCCGCGGGGGTCCGCGAACCGTACATTGAATTAACTAAAACGGTCTGGGCGGTGGCAAACGGCCTATCCCACAAAGCATTCGGTGGCAGTCCATATGGGGCCACGAATGGCGCGGCGGGCGCGTTGAAATGGCCCGGACGCGGCTCGCGGCCTGCGCCGCAGGGGCCTTCAATGGAACTCCAAAAATATGGAGACGCGAACCGCGAGAGAAACGGCCCTCAAAGAGTCTGGGCGGCGGCGTGCGGCCTGTGTTCTTTGGGATATCGGTTGAGCTCCTTATGAGGCAACCGACATTGTGAAAATGGTTATGGAATGGTCGGCGAGGCGGCGCGCGACCACGACGCGTCGGCAAGGATGCGCACGGGGCCATAACGCGTGCCAGACTTGTTGCGGCGTCAGCACCCGATTGACACCACAAGGATTTTCAATGTCAAGCCGCATGGGGACAACGAACAGCGCGCGGCGCGAAGGGCGCGCTGAAATTGCCTCGGCGCGGCTACAAACCGAAAGCCCACCGAGCAAAAAGGGAGGGGACGGACAAGGATGAAACGAAGCGGGGAGGAACAATATCAGGAAGAGGAGGACGAGGAGAAGTGGGGAGAGTAGAGGAGAAAGGATATGGCGCGAAGCGCCGCGAATTCAAAGCGAGGGCCGAAAATGCGGGAGGGCAGGGAACGCAAGCAAACATACATCGAAGGCAACCCGCGGCAAGCGCGCGCGCCGCGCGCGCGACAGGCAAACCGGCGGGGCGCCAGGCACGCGAGGCACAGCGGCCACACCGGGCACATTGCACGCGCAAGACGACAATCACAAAAATACAAGCTGCGCCAAGCAGTTAGCGGGATCACCCGCCAACGCGCCCGCGCGATGCTCGCACCGCCTCGCGCTGCAAGGATTCCCCGATCAGCGCCGAGCCATCGCGAGGCCTCCAAAGGCACACCGCACTAAATGTTTAAATGGACAGCAGTGTTTGTTCGGAACGGGACAAGGCCCTGAGGGGCGAGCGCGGACTTACAATTCCCTGTCTGGCAACGCCGGCAATGAGAGCCGCCAAGCTCGCGCGCGCTATAACCATCGACGGAATCACCAGCCTCAAGCGCTGCGGACGCGCTGGCACACGTCGGTTCATCTCGCTTCTGCCCGCGCCCAACAAAGAACTCAACGCGCGCCCGTCCATGGGCTGCCGCGGACCGCAGCCCTCGACACTCTCCAGAGGCGCGGTGGGTTCGGTCCCGATTGGCTGGTAAGCATTGATCTTAGGGATTCCCAGGGATTCCTAGGGATCCCTAAAGATTCTTGAGGAATCCGAAGTGTTCCTGGGGATTTCTAGAGATGCCTAGGGACAGAATCCATGCGCCGCCCGGGGAGAAGTGGACCCCCCCTGCGGCAAAGGGGGGTTGAGGGGTTCACGCGTGAGTCGCGGGGGAACGCGCGGGGGGGGGGGGCGCATCAACGGCAACGGCAACGACAGCCCCGCGCTCATGATGGCGCACGCGGCACAGCGAGCTCGCGCCGGCAACGGCAGCCCCGCGCTCACGATAGCGCACGCGGCACGGCGAGCTCGCCCAAGAAGTCGCGATGGGCATTGCCAACTTCCCAACGGATGGGAAAAGGGGGCTCCGCAAGCGAGCACTGGCCAAAAGAGGAGAGGAGGAGGAGGAGGAGGAGGAGGAGGAGGAGGAGGAGGAGGAAGAAGAACTTATTTTGACATCCACGGCCAAGGGCCCTACTTGAAGTGGGCAAAAAGAGAAAGGCTCGACTGAGACCCCGTCCGTCTTGGGGTGGAGACCTTTGCCGAGACGTCTCCAGTTCTCGCTCTTGGGAGGATTGGCGAGCGACTGGCATGGCGCGGCCAGCTTAGCCAATTGCCTATATATATATATAGAGATGAAAGCAACACTCCGCCGAATAATGCAAACGAGAGACTCGTCGCTACAATCCAGCAAATGCCAAACCCACGCTGGTGGCAGGAGCTCCCGTGATACACTCCGATGCCACCCTGCACGGCAGGCGAGGCAGTTGAACTGTTTATCTCAAGACCCTCTTCTGATGGGTCCGAGCATGCATCGGCAAGCTTGGAAGTGCGTGGAGGCAGGCCTTTCTGTACACTTCCTCAACTGCTGCTTGCCACAGTGATTAGAAAATCGAGGGGGGCTCCCCCCACCTCTCAAATTCCCCACAGCTTGTGCGGCTATGCAACCACAGCCCAGACACACCGTGCCCCTATCGGGGATGGACAGACCTCCCTTTAGTAAAACGTGGTTTAGTGAAAACGACCTCGGGCCCAAACCTGGCGGGCGCAAGCCTGGAAAATAACGGCCGCGGCGCCCTCTCGAGAACCGAAAACGGACAATTCACTAATCGACGTGTCACTGTTAGGAGGTCTGTCCACCCCCGAAAATTATTTAGGACAACTGAAGCCTTTAAGAAGAGATGCTCGGTCGCTGGCCGGTGCCCGCGAGGACACGCGCGGTGCTCCGCATGCTCTGTGCATGCCTCTCTCCCTCTGACGTCTTCGGGCCTCCCCCGCAGCCCTTCTCTGCTTTCCCGGCCTGCCCGGTGCACAGTCACCTCGGCGGGAAGGAGACGTGCTCGGAGCAGCCTACGCAGAGGCTCCGGTGTGTTCTGGCCACGAGCCGTCGTGCAGCGGGACCGAGCCGCTGATGGCGGTGAGCTGCCTTGGGCACCGCACGCGCCGGAAGCTGACCCACGGGTTGTTCGTCTGGCCGCTCGACTCGAGCCACCTGTACCAGTCGTGACGCCAGTGGCAGCCGGCCTGCAGCTCTGACGGGAGCCGGTCGCACCCGCTGCGAGCGGAGCAGCCGCCGTAGTTGTTGTCGCAGTCGAAGTCGCCCGGGCTGTGGCCGGAGAACTGCCTGCTGCACCCGCTGGTGAACAGGCCCTGGCCGGCACCTGGGAGCCGCCCCACCCCGTGGCTTGCCGCAGGGGTGCACGGCGTGCCGTGCCAGACTTTTGAGCGTTTTTGCAGCCGACCCATGTCATAAGGATGCACGGTAAAGGATGCAAGGGCCTCCGACGCCCATCCCGAAGCTTTTCGAGCGGGGCGCGGCCAGCGAAAGTGGCCAAGGATGGGCCGAGGAGGCGAGGATGCAAGGGTATTGGGAAACTTGTCCATCCTTACCATGCGTGTGGACTGTAATAATTAAAAGGTTTCCCAGAAAGGTATTGCGGTGGCCACCCGGAAAGTTCCGGGTCCGTTGGCCTTTCCCAAGAAGATGGCCACAAGATGGCGTCTAAGACGGCTAAGATGGCCTCCAGGACGGCTCAGATGCCCCGAAGAGCCGAAGATGGCCCCAAGATGTCTCCAAGACGGCCCAAGGTACACCCAAGACGGTCTAAGATGGCGTCAAGATGGCCCAAGACGGCCCAAGAGGTCTCAAGAGGCCTCCAAGACGGCCAAAGAGGCGTCTAAAAAGTCCTCCGAGAAGGCCCGAAGAGCCTCAAGTCATTGATTTGCTGGTAGTTTTTGCATAACTTGGGCTTTCGTTTTTTTGGGGCGGTGGGCGCCCCCCGACGGCCCAAGAGGTCTTCAAGATCGCCCAAGAGGTCTCCAAGATGGCCCGTATGACGGCCCAAGAGGCCCCCAAGACGGCCCCAAGAGGGACCCAAGAGGGACCCAAGACGCCCACGATTGCTTCCAAGACGGCCCTGAAGCTTCCATGTCGGTCGGTTCAGAGAGGCCCTAAGACGGCTTCTGACAGCGTCAGACGGGCCAGAAACGCCCCAAGCAGCCAAAGAGGCCTGCAAGAAGCCTCCAACCAGGAAACTCTCAGGAGGCCCCGAGAGTCCTCCAAGAGGCCCCTAGGAAGCTCCCAGGAGGCCCCAAGCGTACCCAAAGAGTGCCCCAAGAGGCCGCCTCCTCCTCCTCCTCCTCCTCCTCCTCCTCCTCATCATCATCATCATCATCATCATCATCATCATCAGCAGCAGCAGCATCGGCATCAGCATCAGCATCAGCATCAGCATCAGCATCAGCATCAGCATCAGCATCAGCATCAGCATCAGCATCAGCATCAGCATCAGCATCATCATCATCATCATCATCATCATCATCATCATCATCATCATCATCATCATCATCATTCTCCTCGTCCTCCTCCTCGCCCTTATTCTCATCCTTTCGTCTCTCTCTTCCACGTGTTCCCCGAAGGGTTTCCACAACGGTTGGGGGAACCCATAGTCCGATAGCTTGGCCGCGCTCTGGCCGCAACATTCGGCCACACAGGCGCTTCCAAAGGCAGGGGGCAGCGGTGACAGGCCGTAGGCATCTTCGATTAAGAGGTCGAAGCTGTGAACGCCAGAGACGTCGTAACCGATGTTCGTGACCTGCACGACATGCCTCTTGTTGACCAGGTCCGCGTGCGCCCCACCCCAGGGGTACCCACTGCCATCCACGTGGCGTTGGCTGGTGAAGACCAGCTCGAAGCATTGGCCGCAGTTCGCGTCGCCGTCGAGCCCCGAGACTCCGCCGACCGCCGCCGCCGCGAAGCCCATGCTCAGGTCCGCGCTGACCTGGAACGGCCCGTTGCTGGCGCAGGTCGCCGCGTCGCCGCCGTGGCAGACCGAGGCCACGTTGCTGTCCGACAGCACGGCGCCGGTGGATGCGCTGCAGGCCTGCACTGGCTGGCTCACGCTGCCCTTGTTGAGCAGGGACCGACCGTCCCGGCATGCCGATGGGCCTACCACGACATGTTCTGAGAACCCAAACATGTACTGAGAGCAAAAACCATTTTCGTGGAACATAGACCCGATGGGTGAAAGCAAGACGGTCTCTCAACCAGAACTGCTCTGAGAGCGTGCCGAGCAGAACACAACAACAGGTCCTCAGAACGTTCTCCTGGTGGGCCCATGGGCAAGCCAGGGCGCGTCGCCACTGCCTGACCTTGTTTGGCCACGAGCAGCTCGGCTTGCAGCAGTCCTAGGGCTGAGGGGGAGGAGGAGGAGGAGGAGGAGGAGGAGGAGGAGGAGGAGGAGGAGGAGGAGGAGGAGCAGTCCCAGTAGCCGGTCGTCCACGTGCCTTCCAGCCAGGCGCTCGAGCCCAGCGCCCCGGCCGGGGCCTGCAGCGCCACGGCGGCCGCACCCAGCCTCCACGCCCTGACTGCGCGGGTGCCCGGCATTTGGTGCGGAGGGAGGCCGGTGCTCGACGCGTCTGCACAAGCCGGGCTGGAGCCAAAGTGGCTGAGGTGCTCACGCCCGCGTGCTCTGGGCGCCCATTGGGCGCTCCAGAGAGTGCCCGCGTGGCTGTCCCCGAGTCCCTGGGCGCGTGCCCGCGGGTCGAAACGTCCAACATGCTCCAGCATGGCCCAGAAGCCAACATGAATGACCATTTTCACTTCTTGTATGATTCTCGCATGCTCGTCTTGTCGGTCTCAAGTCTCCAGAGCGCCCAAGCCAATCAAAGAGACCCCGAAGAGAGGTCCAAGAGGGTCAACGAGGTCCCCAAAGGGCCCGTCGTGTTCCAACAAGCGACCCGAGAGGAGGAATACGCGCTTACATGTCAAGCCCTCACCCACCGGCCCGCGAGACCGCCAGCGTGCCCCCGAGAGGCCCCCAAGAGGCCTCCAGACACCTCACCCGTGTCCAGGACCAAGGCACGGTGGTGGTGGTGGTGGTGGTGGTGGTGGTGGTGGTGGTGGTGGTGGTGGTGGTGGTGGTGGTGGTGGTGGTGGTGGTGGTGGTGGTGGTGGGCCTACGGCCACCAGATAGATGCATAAGATAGACAACAAGCTGCACGCAGCCTCCTGAAGACCATTGCAGGTCCGACTGGGCGTGACCCGAAACGGATGGGCCCCCCAGACGACACGCAAATGCCGTGCATCTGGTTGTGCCAGCACCGCTCTGAGCAGCTTTCACGCCGGGGCGCAGCGGAACGCCAGCGGGCGACCACAGGAAGCGCGCCCTGGCTCCCGTCGAGACGACGGCACTCGGAGGGTGCTTTGGGGCCCCCCGACGACCGCGCAGCGGCGCAGCACGGGAGGGGGGCACACTATGGAGGAGGGACGGAGGCGGGACAGGACCCAGACTTTCGAGGACTCGACTCTTGCGGAGGGGGGGCACCAATCGAGGAGGGAGGATCGACTACAGCATTGATTTGCCCCAGGAGTGATTGGATGTGATTGGTTCGTCGAATCTGCGAAGGAATGCGTCGAACGCTCGTAGAGCTTCGTCCATTCGACGTATTCTTTCTCGCAGGTTCGGCGAACCCTGCAATATTGGGGTAAGTGACTTCTGTAGTCGATATCCCCTGCTCGAACCAAGGGGCCGATATGCCGCTGCTCCGCGAACCTCTCCTGGGGCACACTCTGACCAGGACCTCGAGGCCAACCCCGCCGCGGCGACGCGACCCGCCCAGGAGCCCCCCGAAGTGGCGAGCGACGAGGCAAGCGCAGCGGCATGGGCACCCGGGGCCTCCCCCCTGGGCGCTCTCGCAGAAGCAGCGATGGCAACGTGGCAGGAAATCGACATCCAAGGAGATTATCCTTCTCCTCCTCCTCCTCCTCCTCCTCCTCCTCCTCCTCCTCCTCCTCCTCCGCCTGGTACGTGGGGCGGAAATTCCCGCCCTGCCTAAAAAGAATCGCCCAAGGTATACGGCGGATCCGGAGCCAGGGTGATCGGACACGAGGAATCGGAGAGCGGGAGCAGGAGATCAGAGGAGGGGTCGGAGCTGAGGGCTCAGAGAGGCAGAAAACCTGCGCCGCCTGCGCGCATCCACCGCTCCGGGCCAGGCCCCTCCGGAGCCCAGGATGGGCCTGGCAGGGATCGGTGCGTGTGCATTAGCTCCCCTGGCCCGAACTCCGCAGGACAAGTCGGGCGCGGACGAGGCG